TAGTTTCTTAGGCCTGTTTAATAAGGCATCCAGTCTGCATTAGCCTAAGTATTGCTGAAATGCTCTCAGTGCACTTCTAGGCACTTTAGGCCAACTTTTGAAAAGTGCCCGAGTTCCCCTATTTAGGCTCCCAAGTGAGTTAGATGCTTTGGAACGGTTTATCCGTTGCCCATCACTGAGTCATTACTAAGCGTTTCTCAGCATGCAATGTTTAGGAAACGTGATAGGTGCGGTTGCACAAGCATAACTAACACAAGGCAGTGTTGAATATTCACACAGCAACTCTTCCCCATTCGACCTCCCAACTGGTACTGCATATCACTAGCTCTGACAATCACTTGGCCATGTGTTTGTGAGCACACCAATTACATATAGAAGGGATTTTCATAAGCGATCTGTGCCTACCTAACTGTTCCCGTTGGAAGTCAAAAACAAAACTTTCGTTGATTTCATTGAGCCTAGAATTAGACCAAAGATGAGCACGTAGTTATCTGCTAGTCTTATGGCCCCTTTTGTGAAAATCTTACAGGTTACATTTCAAGTCAGCATATTTCTACAAATACCCACAGTTCTTCCGAATTTCAGTTACTACCAATTCTTCCTTTGTTGGCATGCTGTAGTCTGAACATTTTTTTTTGTCTCATAGTTAGTAAAAAGAAATCTTTTGGCATTATTTGACTATTTTTGTTGATTTGTTGCATGCCAATCTGATTTTGGGGCAGTTTCTGATATCTGTGTACAGAAATGTTCCATATTTTTAAATTTGTTGTGTTAGCCATTCTCATCGTCTGTGGTTTTTTTAATCACGTGCTGAGCTCTAATTCTTGGTTGTTTTTCCTTTTACGGATCTGCTAGGACCTCTCTCTTGGCTTTTTGTAGTCCATTATATAATATAATTTTCTAACTGCTCTCTGCCTGTTTGAATGTCTTTCTTATTCTTGCTTGGCTTGGATGCAAACTTCCTTTACTTTCTTCAAACCTGGATGACAGGACCCTCTGTCTGTTCTGCGCTGAGAGTGCAAATGCCTTTTGAGAGTTTGCCCAACCAAACTTTTCCTTTGGATACGGCAAAACACTGGGATGCAATTAGTATCATGTACTGTCAGTAGAGCCACCTGCCTATTTTCCTAGGATCCAGCTCTTTTTCCTCTCGCCTCTTGATTAGTTAACATGTATAGTGTGGTAGTGCTTGGAAGCCAGTGTTCCCTGTAAGCTGAGCACTTGGGCAACCACTCAGGAAAGAAACAGATGCCACCTAGCTGATTAGCAGAGTGCCCACAGCTGGCAGCATGTGTTTCTACTGGTGGTGCACATACAGGCATGCCTCAGTGCACATAATGGAATTTATTCCGCACACGGATGGAAAAAAATGGAATGAATTTGGTTGCAGGCCTCAATCATGTTGGGACTCTATTGGGCGCGGTGCTGTACAAACATCTAGAGAAAAAGTGTATCCCAAGTGTAACTCCAGGTGCTTTTATGCTCCCTCCCCGCAACATGTTCAAGTTCATCAGAGTAAAACAAATGCTTTGATACTTTGAGCAGGGATGGGATTTATCTCTCTCTCACACAAATGTTTTGCTGATTGGGAGCTATACATTATTGCACTACCCCCGTAACTTGGCTTCTACCCACACATAGTGCTTGCTGCACTATGCCCTATGAGCTGGATCTAAAGCCCACAAAATTCCATCCTGAGTCTTTCTGTTGACTTTAGTGGGCTTTGGATCAAGTCCTAAAGGTTTAGTCTAGAGCAGTGGTCTTCAAACTATTGCCCATGGACCGCATCCCAGGGTGTGCACGCTATCTGAGGGAGCCACGAAAGGTTGTCAGAATCAGAGAGCAGTGGTTTCAACCTGGGGTCCGTGAACCCTAGACTATGTTTAATATATCAAAGGGGTCTGCACCTCCATTCAAAAATGTTTAGGGGCCCACAAATGAAAAAATGGTTGAAAATGACTGGTCTAGAGCTCATTGAAGTCAATGGAAAGACTCTGTTCCATTCTGTGGGCTTTTGGGCTAGGCCGTAAGTGTTCCTGTTAGACCCGTGTCTGTGAAAATTCCTTATTGTGGAGACCAGGACTTTAACAGGGTTCAAAAAAGAACTAGATAAATTCATGCAAGTTAGGTCCATCAATACTTATGAGCCAGGATGGGAGGGAAGGTGTCCCTGGTGTCTATCAGAGGCTGGGAGTGGGTGACGGGAGGGATCACTTGATGATTCCCTGTTTTGTTCACTCCTCTGGGACACCTGGCATTGGTCACTGTGGGCAGACAGGACACTGGGCTGGATAGACCTTTGGTCTGACCCCGTGTGTCTGTTTTCCCATGAACTAGAATATTACCTAGCCTGGAAAACGGCTTCTCAGGAATCAATGGAAGCCACATGCATACATGAATCCCAGCTGTTTTCCTTTAGGAAGTGCCAAATCTTGCACAAGTCAAGGAATTTGAGAGTGTTAAAACGGTGGCAAAGAGGTGAAATACCCATACAGAGATATAGGCATATATCTTAATATTATTGAAACGAGAGTGTATAATCACAAACTACAGTGTTGTATGTGGCTAACTTATTTTCTATAAATATGGAACTGCTGATCAAGCGTAGAATATTTTCATCAAAAGACCTATAAGCCAAAAATAGAGAACAAATGAGCACAAATCCAAGCTGAATGAGGAACATTCACATACAAATTCATATTATGTTCCTTTTGGCTATTTCCCATGATAGGGAAGTTGATCTTTGGTTCACCTTTTTCCTCCTGTGGGTTTACAAGTGTGCCTTTTTATTTCTGCAGCTTTCATTGAGCAAATTCCATATAAATATGTAAACACTAGAGTTTAAGACTTCTCTCTTTTTTTATGAGACAGCTGGAGTAATATATAGTAGACCCAAGGGAGAAGGAAAATGTGTGAAATAAAATGTAATGGATCTTCCAAAAAACCAAACAAAACCCCAACCCTATTTCTAGTTAAAAGTTTAGCACGTTTACCAATGGGTAATGTTCAAAACATTGATGGGTGAAAATGTGGACCAGATTTTCAACATCTATAAATATGCCTAACCCTACTGGAGTGGATAAAGATACACCCATGTATTTCTGCTCAGGATCTTTCCCAGAATGCTAAGATGTGAGGAAAATTGCCAGTCTCCTTGTTGCTTAAGGAATGAATCAACAAGATTCTGTTCTGTGATTTACAGGAGGTCTGAACGGCATGCACGCACCTGCCTGCTGTGACATTAAAATTAGTAAAATGCCGGGCCCTTATGTGGGAGGCTGTGTCTAACTAGGACTTTGAGTCTTTAGAACCATTGGGTCACATAACCCAGACGTGGGTTGCTTCCCCCCGTTTGAAAGTTAGAAAATATAAAATGAACTGTTCTGACTTGCAGGCCGAAGGTGATACAAAGTAGCACGCTGCCTGCGTGCGCTCTCAGGATAGAAAAATGTAGGCGAGAACTGAATTCATTTTACTAGGATCCTTTATGCCTGTTCCTTTGTCCTCCCGCTACACCTGGTGATAAACCCAGGGAAGCCTGAGACCTTATGTAACTCTCTTCTCCCTGGCTTTTTTTTTTTTCTGGCCTTGTTTTATCATTTCTAAAGCGTGTATGCCCCTCCTTTTTGGCAGGGAGAATGAAAGAAAGCGTTGTACTCTTTTGAAGACAGGTGGGGAGATGTCCCCACAGTGAGGGCTATGCAGCGCTGCTTGCTTTTTGTTTATCTTTACTAATTGGTTAGAATGGATGGTATTAAGTTCCATCGAGTATGGATGCTAGAGAATTCCTACATAACCTGCCTCGGGGAATTATACTTTGGAAAATTAAGTCTCCTTCAAAGCAGGAGGTAGCTTGTACAGTGTGTATTCCCTCTCTCTCTCTTTCTTTCTCTCTCTCTCTCTTTTTTTTTAAAGCTTAAGAAAAGAGCCCTTTGTTTTCTTTTCAGGAAAGTTACACTGAAATTCATCTGTGCTGTATTCATCTGCCTTCATTCGTGCCATTCATGGGCAGCTGTCGGTTATATAGGACAAAGCTGATGAATTCCTAACCTCCACATTCAAAACAGTATATTGGGACAAGTTCAAGGCCTATTTTTTATGTGGGATCGGGGGGAGGAATACTAGTTTTCAGTTTGTGGTTTGAGATTTTGCCCTCTTCTCTCTTTCTCCTCCTACCCCTCTCCCCGTCACATTTATCTGTCATGATATTTTAATGGCATTTAAAATCTGTTTAGACTCCTTGATACTTGATGTATGATGTCAATGTTTTTGTCAGTATAGCCAAACTTCAAAAATATCTTTCAAGGAAACCTGATGGGAAATCTCATTAGTAGGATTTAGGATTAAATATTCTTTTAACATTCTCTCACTTTTAAACATCAGCCACTGAAAGATGTGTCTGATTTTTGTGTATTAAAATTAAAATAATTCCAAATACTAGGGTGTGACTAGCTAGCTATTGTAGTGAATGCTTCATACTGAAATACTTTGTTATAGCTCCAGTAATTTCAGGGGACACACTGTAAATGGTTTTTTTTTAAAAAAGGTTACTCCTAAGTATCAGAGATTAGATTCTCAGATGGTGTAAATTAGCCTAAATCAATGGGCACATGCTAGTTCACACCAACTGCAAATCTGTTTTGGATTATGTGTCATGTATAGAAGAATGTTTGCACTATATTAGCCTGCCCCTATTCCACAGTTTACAGATTTCTTGACACAAGCTCCGTTTGATACTGCCTTCTTTTTGAAGCCTTTTACTTGAAAATTAGTTTAAATATATTTTCAGTACTTCATTGTAGAATATAAACTAGGTTTGAAAATATAGAGATGAACAAGTACCATTCTTCCTTCCACGCTGCTTCTGAAAGAAGTGTCTAAGAGTTTAATGATTCAGGGCTTGATCTCGTACCAAGCAAAGTAAATTGGACTTGGATCAGGTCCTTAAAACCTCAGATTCTCTGACCAACTGGTGTAATTTCCCTTCGCTTTCTTTCCAGATTCTTCGTACTCAGAACCTCCTGATGTTCAGCAACAGCTGAACCACTACCAGTCAGCCGCTCTGGCCAGAAACAACAACAACATTAGCCCTGTCCCCCTTTCTGGGGCTGCTGAGCAGAAAACGGAAGCCATTCTTAACTGTGAATTTTGTGAATTCTCCTCGGGTTACATTCAGAGCATTCGGCGTCACTATCGTGACAAACACGGAGGGAAGAAACTCTTCAAGTGCAAAGATTGTTCGTTTTATACAGGCTTTAAGTAAGTATCGTACAAAACCAGATAAACAAAAACCACCTCTAACTCGTTAAAAAGACAAGCCCTCTGGTTCCTAAGATGATCAGCTGGAGCTTACGGGAAACATGGGAATGGATGATCCAGGAGAGATACCTAAGAACTGCTTTTGAGATCACACCAGGGCTAATCTAATCCTGCTTGGTATCTCTGACAGCATTCACTAGTGTCTGCCACAGAAGGAAGGTGCAAGAAGTCCTTGCAGTTAGTTGTTACAGAGTACCATGTCGACAGAGAATGATTTTTCCTGTCCATCAATGGTTAGAAGTTGGTTGATGCCTTGACCCGGTGGGTTTATGTCCCTTCCAAAAACTGTCGCGTGTGTTTTTGGAAGATGTTAGAAACCAGTGTGAGAAGAGAGGAAGGCAGATGTACTAGTGAAGTAACCGAGTTCCCACTGACCGGGTACAGGAATCTCCCAACCACAGAACTTTTAGAATATCCTCCACCTAGTTCAAACGACAGAAGTGAAACATGGCTAAAAGTGTGGGATGTCATATCTGAATAGTTCATCAAAGCAGTTAAACAACCCATAATAAAAGCTCAGGTATCTGCATGTGTTTCCACATTCTGATTGCTATTTTCTTAGTATTTTAGACTTTGGTTGATCGCTTATTTTTAATACTCCTTCCTCCACCAATCATACTGGACATAACAAAACTGTCTTAAATCAGGCTCTAATTAAATATGTTGACACAGAGGTTTGTGTTCCTTGATGCAGTATTTCTCAAGCATCTTGGAGGGTGGGAAGGGGGGAGAGTTAGGTTTTCCTCTTAGCAGTGTAGAAAGACCCATCCTTTATTATAGAGAATGAAACGCAAAACACCCACTGAAATCAATTAAAAGATTCCTATTGATATCAGTGACCTTTGGATCAGGCCCAAAGTCAGCAGAGTCTGCAGTTTTTCTAGGCTAGGTCTACACTGCAATGTTAAATCAGAAAACGAAACTCAATTTGCGGTACGCAAATTGTGTATCTTTTTCCGACTTACTTTCGAAAGAGGCTCTTTCGAAATTTGGCACATCTACATGGCACCAAATGTCAAAAGAAAGTGCTCTTTCAACACACCCCTTTTCCCTTGTAGGATGAGGTTTACAGGGATGGAAAAAGAGCACTTCCGCTTTTTGGAAAAAAATGTAGAAAAAACAGACGTATTCCTTGAACGTGCTGTTGCTTTTCTGGGATACCTCTGGTATCCCGAAAAAGCAACTCAGTCTAGACGTAGCTTTATTGTCAAGCCAAAGGGACTATAAATTCCTTAGTTAAGAATTAAGCAGTTTGGGGTATTTACAAACAGCACCACTCCTTAATCCAAAATTATTGAACCTCTCAAGTTTACAAAGGCCTCTTCCCCAACTGAGCTTCTAGCCACATAGGTATACTTGACTGTGCAGTGCATCTGTCTTCTATGTGTGCAGCTAACAGCATAATACATTTGGCTGTGCAAAGGTACTATGCATTAGTGGAGTTTTATCAGTCCTGCCTTTTCAAAACTTCATAACAGTTTTTAAAATATTTAAGGTTTCCCCCCCAAACATACTGCAAAACATTTACTGCCAACTGAAGTCTGTTTACACACCAAATCTGGAGCAATGCTGTTCTGCTGTTTCGGAGTTAGGCCCACCAAAAAAAAAAAAAAGGCACTATTGCTGCTGTTAGACATTTATTGTGACTCCTGAACAGTTGAAGGGATTTTGCTCACGCTTTCCAAACATGGTTTGCCGTTGGCAGAGAGCAGGCATGGAAGATTTCAGCCCAAAGATCAGCAGTGTGACCAGGGTAACGACCGCAATAGAATATTTTGTCAGAGACCATGATGGCTATGTAAGAATATAGTCCTGCAAATACATGTGCTCATGTGTTACTCATAGGAACATTCCCACTGGACTGTCATGTGGCTTTACACACACACACACACACACACACACACTTGATCAAACTTATGCAACTTCATAACTGAACTTACTGTGGTTTCTTCCATGCAATGAGGCCAGCAGGGGCTGTTCTCCTACCAATACCTGCTACTCTTCTCATCCTGGAGGAGTACCAAAGTAGATGGGAGAGTGCTCAGAGATAGATTAATCATGTCTAAGCAGACCTGATAAATCAACCTCTGGTGGATCAATCACTGCAGCATCGATCCACTATCTAGTGTACATAAACCCTAAGTGGCATCCATAACACTTTAGATAACACTTCTGTAATAGAGTCGACATATGTAAACCTACGAAATACTGATATTTGTCTCTTCTGCTTCTTACTTCATAGATCTGCGTTTACTATGCATGTGGAAGCTGGGCATTCAGTAGTTCCCGAGGAAGGACCCAAAGACCTACGCTGTCCTCTTTGCCTGTACCACACCAAATACAAACGTAACATGATTGACCATATCGTCCTGCACAGAGGTACGGACGTCACTTATTGGTATTTGTGTCTGATGAAGAAAACATTGAACAAAAAGCCTGTTTATTTCAGGCTCATGAAATGAAGTTTTCATTGGCGTGTGTGCATGGCAGTGCTCAGTAGTCTACACACCCTTGCACATACTTTTAGTGAGGCATTTTATTTCTTTGCTGTGAAGTACAAAGAATTAGACCAAAGTGGAAAGAGAGCAGGTTTGAAATTTCTGTTTAGAATTGCCACCAGACATGTTTACAACCATCTCTCTCTCTCTCTCTCTCTCTCTCTCTCTCTCTCTCTCTCTCTCTCTCTCACACTTACACTTTCTAATGAGCTCATTATCTTATCTCAGTTCCAATATCCTGTTAAAAGATGGGTGTATTCTATCTGCATTGTCAAAGGGCACCCCAGAAGCTCCCAAGAATGTCTATCTTCACCACATCTGTATCAACTATTCTTAGGAGCAAAAGAACTTTAAAGAACTGATTAAGGGATTGCCTTATTCTGAGCTTCCAAACCTGCGATTAATGGAATTGACATCTGTTTGGACTCTTTGGGTTGGGATTCCAGCTGACCGTTATGGTCTGTTGGCTGCCTAAATCCAACTCCATGTGCTGTGATGGCACCCTGCCTGTTTGCAGGGTAAGCAGAATTTCAGAGTATGATATGAATGCTGAGCAAATGTGGGTTTCACATGCCATCTTTTCCTGGAGGAGATACTTCTTGTGCAGCAGCACTGTCACACTGTCCACTACACTATATTCTGGGCTGCTTCCGGGTTCGAACATAAGAACGGCCATATTGGGTCAGACCAAAGGTCCATCTAGTCCAGTGACCTTGCTTGCTGACTGTGGCCAATGCCAGGTGCCCCAGAGGGAATGAACAGAACAAGTAATCATCAAGAGAGCCCAGCCTGTCACCCATTCCCAGCCTCTGACATACAGCAGCTAAGGACACCATTCCTTACCCATCCTGGCTAATAGCCATTGATGAACCTAACCTCTATGAATCTATCTAGTTCTTTTTTGAACTCTGTTAAAGTCCTGAGCGTCACAACATCATTTGGCAAAGAGTTCCACGGGTTGACTGCGCTGTGTATAGAAAAACTTCCTTTTGTTTTTTTTAAACCTGCTGCTTATTAAGGATCCAGACAATGAAGTCGATAGAGTTGATGGGTCTTCCCGTCTGTTGGAAAGACTGTATTGAAGGAACACCTAGAAAGTCCTAGGACTCACATAAGGCATGTGATACAGTGAGTGTTAAAGCTTGACAATTAATAGCAGTCAGTGCTGAGGAATGTGTTTATCGACACATCTGGGGCATTGATTGGGTCAAAGGAGTTCACGAATCCTTGTAGGTATATAGTTGACATGAGTTGTCATTCCTTATTTGTGTTACCATAGCACACACAGGGCCCAAGTGAAATCATTCTGGCTTCTGTTTGTGCCTGAGCCATGTGATTAGGCACCACTTTTAAAATGAGAATCAACAAGCATAGGTAAGAGGATGGGTTGTGGCATGCTGGTTGGAAACCTTCCACTCATGCAAGACTTCTGAGGAAAACTCTGAATGTTCAGTAAGATGCACTGGTAGCACTTCTTATGTTCAATGCAGCGTGCAGATATTAGGCAGTTCCCCCACACAACACCCAGGAAGAAAGCAGATAACTCCTTTGTAAAACTGTGAGGCAGTTCCTTGGCGTCATGGCAGCTGCTTTGCACTGCTCCTGCTTTGGTGAGTCCTCAGGTGGAGCAGAGCTGCCCAAGAGGCAGCCGAGACTGAAGCATCTCTACTCAGCTGCCAGAACAGACTGGTTGCTTGATGAGGGAGGGAGAGCGCGAGCGTGCGTGCGTGCGTGTGTGTGTGTTAGCACATTTGCGCTCCTTGCTGTGCTGCACTTCTGTTTCCATTTTCCAACAAGCTCCAGAAGACAGAGCATCTTTCATCTCAGTTCTGATCTGGCCCTGTGAAAAGAGCCATCTGCTTTGACTTTTAGTTGTATCCCATTTATCGAGTGCTCCTGTCATAGATCCCTAGACAGACAAAATAGAAACCTGAAAGCAGAAAAAACCTGAAACGAACCTGAGAGTCACCACTGCTGAAAGAGCCCCACCCCGAAAGGGAGGGAAAATGCTTCCAAACTTAACCAAGTTCTTCTCCTCTCTCTGCACCCCCATCCTGCTGAGGCAACGCTTCATTTGTGACCTTTGTTGCAGAAAGGTGAATCTTACAGAAAGGCCCTTTTATACCATCCAGGCAATGCAAAGAGGCCTTAGGGTAAATGAGAATCAGGTCTGGGAAGAGTCTTAGGCGATGTCCTCTTTCGAGGGCCTAGGGAGAGTGGCTCTTTCAGACACCCAGCATCCAAACTCTAAAGACCAGCCTGGTGAAAACCGGAATCCTCCATCCAAGTCCTTCCCGGTGAACATGTGACCACATCACCATGGTGTTTGATCCTAACGATGGCAGCGTTTGGAGAGGGCACTGAAATATCTTCACGCCTTGAGAGCTGAGCCTTTCTGGACAGGAGCGAGGCATGGAGCAGCTGCCCTGCTGCTGTCGGATCTGAAGCCATTCCGGAGACAAGACTTTGGTCTCAGGCTGTCTGTCCAAGCACAAATGCTGCCTGGGGGAGGGGGGAGCTGAGGGTGAATAAAGGGCACCGTGCATAAAACCAGTGGAGCTATGCTCATTTACACCAGCTGAGGATTTGGCCCAGTATTGATTTGCTCTCCCCCTCGTTGCATGCGTACAACCCAGTAGCACCACTTCTCGCTGGGACTTTCAGTGCTTTGCCACATGGCACAGAGGGGTGAAAACACCCGACAAATATTGTTTCTGTCGAGATGTTGTCCAGAGGCTCCCATCGAAATGAAGGGCTGCTGATGACATAGGATGTAGCTAACCCTGACAGCACATCCCCCTCTCTTGAACTGCAGTTAATGGGTGGTGATAGAAGTTGAGACATCCTCTGGGCAAAAGCCATTCTGGGACAGAGTCTGGGATGACGTGTTAGGGTCACGCAAGAAGTGTGTTTTCCATTGAAAGTTATGGGCATGGGATGATGTTGTTAGTCTGCCTCTGAGAGCCTTCTGCCATGTGTCACCTACTCGTCCGTGTGGTTTAGCTTCCATTTTATGGGCACAGAGGAGCAGGGTTTCGGTGCCCTTTTCTAGCCTGAAGGGGGAGGGAATTGACGGGACCAGAACCTGTTGCTCTTGGACTTCTTGTTCCTGGGAAAGCCCTTGGAAGTTCTGTCACTAGAATGAGGTCTGGTTCCCTACTCAGTCATTAGCCTTTAATTTAGCCCAGACGACGCTGGCTGTTCTCTGATGTGCTTTCCTATCCAGCACATGAAGAAAAGTGCTGATATTTTGCCAATACTGAAAGCAGCTTTAAAGCCACATGCTTTGGTTTCACAAGTCCAAATGCACAGAACTCGGAGGGAGCCTTCTAAAATAGCTTTTCTATGTCCCCTGAATGTCACAGCTTTACATCCTGTTACCTTGTGGCCTTCCCATCATCACCTTTTTTTTTTTCTCCTTCCCCTGTGAAGGGCCACGAGTTGACATTTTTACAGCTAGAACAACTGTCACTAGTGTACGAGCGAATCTTACTTGTTCCGAGCCTTTTAGCAAGAACAGCTTTGGGGGAAATGCCACTCTTTTGGGAGTAGTGTGAGGGGAAGGGAATGTTTGGGGGCATGTGAGGGGTTTTACAAAGATTCTTGAAGGAACGGTTCAGAATATTTGAATGAGTCCCAGAAAGATAGATTAATGGGCAGAAAGGGTACATGAAAATCTCAAAGGTGCATGATAAATGCATTTATTATATGGATGGCACCACTGTACATATGGGGTGTACGGGAAAGGTCAGGGTATTCTGTTTGTACATATAAATTACTAGGAAACCAGGCTTAATTTCATTTCTTCAAATGGGAGGCAAAAGACCCAATGTTTCCACTTGACCAAAGAAATTGATGCGTTGTCCAAGTCTGCCTCTTGCGTAGCAGAACACCATTGAAATCCATGCAGCTATACACGTTTGTCAGCTGAGAATTGGGCCTGCTTCTTTCAAATAAGTTGTGAATGGTTTCCTGGGTGAGAAACATTGAGCTGTGTCCTAACCTGACGTTCATACAGAAGGACAGTCTTCAAATTCCCGTGCCCTGGTTCAAAAAGGGCGGTTAAGTCATGAAGGCCTGTAGGGGACGTGATATGGGATGGGAGATTTCCCCTGTGTGCACACAATATTAACTGAACTGTAGTGGATGAAGGAACCAAATTTCAGGATTCTAGTTGAGCAGAAACATGGAAATTTCTTGCCGATCACTCTATTGTGAGAGTATGTGTGTGTGTGGTATACAATATACACAGCTGTCTCTGTGTGTAACATTAAAATTTAATGGACTATTTTTTCCCTATATATTTAAACTAAAAATCTGAAAGCTATATTAACACTCTCAGCAGGTTGGCATGAAAAACTGAACTGGTAGAATTGAGTGTTTGGATGGGAAGTGAAATGGGCGATAATCTCTAATCTTAAAGTCACAGTACAGCTAGAACCTCTCTAGTCCGGCACGCTCTGGTCCAGCAACATCTGCGGTCCGGCATGACTTTAGTTAGCTGATGTCCATTTTTCATGGGTGTGACCAAGTTTCCCGCAGTCCCATAAAGTTTGTTCACAACCCACCACGCCTGGCTCTCAGTGTTCTGTGCTGTGATTTAGCTCTAATTTACCCCAAATGTCTTCTAAGAGCCCAGTAAGCAGTGAGAGTGTTGGTAATGCTGCTAGACAATATTGACCTCCCTTGGTTCGACACATTCCCTGGGAGGCATCGGTCAGGACCCAAGGGTGCCAGACTAGAGAGGTTCAACCTATATTGGAAAGTTGATCATGTAGGAGCATCTAGCACAATGGGGGTGCTAGTCTGTGGCTAGAGTACTACAATAACATTTAAAGGCTCTTTCCTTCCTATGCTCAGCACAGCCACCATCCGAAAGCCTCACCATGCTGTAAAGTACGTCCTGCCCATCATCTCTAGGATTCTGCCAGCTGGACTTTTGGCTGCATCCTTTTGCTTTCTCCCATCTAATTAGTGATGGTGTTCCAAATGACCTCTGCACTCTATGCCTGGAAGAGGATTAGCCCTACCACCTTTGTGGAAGGAATGTAGTTGCTTTTCTTTGTGCCAGTCCAGGTTAGCTTCCCTCCCATATGCCGTCTTATCTATCCTCAAGAAAATATTGCAAACTGCTTGCTGGTAAACGGACGGTAGACATACACAGCAAATCTTGTTTCCCCGACAGGGCGGGGAAGGGAAAGGTTCTTGCTACAGTGCTGCCTTTTTTTTTTTTTTTTTTTTAATGAAAATGCTCTTCTCGTCACCATTTATCCCCACAGAAGAGCGAGTTGTTCCCATTGAAGTCTGCCGATCCAAACTGTCAAAATACTTGCAGGGAGTAGTTTTCCGCTGTGATAAGTGTACCTTCACCTGCTCCAGTGATGAGAGCTTACAGCAGCACATAGAGAAGCACAATGAACTGAAACCTTACAAATGCCAGCTCTGCTACTACGAGACCAAACACACGGAGGAGCTGGACACGCATCTCCGAGATGAGCATAAAGTAAGTTCTTAGCAGAATTTTCTTGGGGGACTGTGTACACATTGCAAGTGATGATTTGACTTTTAGAAAAGGTAAGTGATTCAAGATTTGGAAATGGCCCAAGGACAGAGTAATTCTTTTGTGAGATTACTATTTTCTAAAACCTTGTTTGCATTTCCCCTCCTGAATTTTGGGTACCCCTGCTGGGCCATTCAGATACATATTCAGGTAAATTCCAGGTATGTTGCGAATTTATGTTTGTAGAACATTGATATGCCCTTTTAAATTATTATTAATCAGTCATTAAAGCTGGGATCCAGTCTCGTAAAAGTTGTGAGATTCTCACAGTTAAGAACATAAGAATGGCCATACTGGGTCAAATCAAAGGTTCATCTAGCCCAGTATCCTATTTGCCAACAGTGGGCGATGCCAGATGTCCCAGAAGGAGTGAACACAACAAGTCATGCTCATGTGATCCCTCCCCTGTCACCCATACAGAGGCTAAGAACACCATTTCTACCTGTCCTGGCTAATAGTCATTGATGGTCCTAATCTCCATGAATTTCTTGAACCCTGCTAAAGTCCAACCTCCTCTGGCAAGGAGTTCCACAGGTTGACTGTGTGCTGCGTGATGAAAAACTTCATTTTATTTATTTTAAACCTGCTACCTATGAATGTCATTTGGTGACCTCCAGTTCTTGTTATGGGAACAAGTAACTTTTCCTCATTCACGTTTTCCACACCAGTCATGATTTTATAGACCTCTATGTAACACATTTTGGTTTACGATTAAGGAAAAGATAACAAATATATCATGTGTACATCATGCTAAGTTAAGGATACATATATAAATATATTTTTGGTCAGGGTTTGTAAGAAGAGATAGCTACTTCCTTAACTCCTGTCAACAGGAGCTGAGCGGTTAAATACCCTGCTGGAAATGTTTTCTCACTACTTTTGCTAAACAAACCAAAAATGTCACCAACAACAGGCGCGTCAAAAGTCTCAGCAGAATCTGTCTGGCTTTCAAAATTATGCCACTGCATTTTTAAAAACTAGCTCTGTGAACTGCAAGGCATTTCTTTTCCGTTTGTCAGCTTGTTAATAATTGGCAAGTTTCTCTCCCTTTCTCGTTACTGCTGCTTTAGAAACTTTCTGTTTCTCTCCACTGCACATTTTTTAGCTCTGCTGCCATCCTGTTTCCCACCCCCAACCACAGCCTGGATCCTGGGCCAGGATTCCCAATTCCCCGTGACTTTGATTGGGTGCTTCATTGTGCAAAGATTTTACCCTTGTCCTTATGTATTTGCCTTGTGCCTGGACATAATATACATAACCCCAGAACAGTAAAAGCTTTGTTATACAGCATGTTGGGGGAATGCAGGGTGCCAGTTAGCCAAATACTCTGGTTAACTAAAGAGGAGGCTCCGGGATGAGACGGGGGCATAGTGTGGGAACAGGGGGTGCTGGCTCTGGGCTGGTGGTTCAGACTCCAGCCTGGGGCCAGAAATGTGGGGTTCAGTGTGCAGGCATGGACACTAGTATGGAATAGGGGGCTGGGTGTGGGAAGGAGTGAGGTGCCGTCTGGGTGTGCGGGCACTGGGATAAAACCAGGAATTAGGGGTTTGGGATGGAATAGAGGGCTGCAGGCTGGGGTCACAGGGTTCAGAGTGCCGGAAAGGGAGTGGGGTTTGGGTTCAAGAAAGGAGTTTGGGTGCAGGAGAAGCTTCAGGGTTGGAGGGAGGGTGGGATGCGGGCTCTGAGAGGAAGTTTGGGTTCAGGGAGAAGGATTGGGGGGCAAGAAGTGTTTTGGGGTGCCAGATCTGGGCAGCTCTCCACTTGTGGTGACATGTCCCTGCTGTTCCTAGGCAGAGGCATGGCCAGGCAGCTCTATTCACTAGTGCCGCCCTCACAGCTCCCATTGGTCACGGTACCCGGCCAATCAGAGCTGCAGAACCAACAGTCAGAGAAGGGGTAACAGCACTCCATGGCCAATCCTCTGCCTAGGAGCAGCAGGGTCCTGTCGCTGCTTGGGGGGAACCACATGAAGCCAGGTAGGGGGTCAGCTGGCCAACACAGATCAGAAATTCTGGTTTATTGTGCTTGCATGGAGCTGGATAGCACAGCTCTTGCTTTGGTTCCATTGCACATGCTCTGTCTCACTTCTGGTATTCTCTGACAATGTTGCCATTTGCCTAGAGGAAAGCACCTCACTTGGTAAAAGTTTCTCAGCTGTAAAGTGACTTGTGCTTTACAAAAGCTTCAGAGGGGCAGCTGAGTTAATTTGCAACTGGAAAAACTTAAAAAACAACAAATCGTCCAGCAGCACCTTAAAGAGCAGCAAAACTTGTAGATGGTATCCTGAGCTTTCGTGAGCACAACCCACTTCTTCAGATGACTGGAATATTAAAAGTCCAGATCCAAAATAAATAGGGGCGCTGGGGTGGGAGGAGAAGTAAGGGAGAAAAATAGTGAATTAGAGTGTTCATGCTACATGAAGCAGATAGAGAAGGTGCAAATTGTTCTTAAGTATTCATTGTGACCCTTAGCATAACGCTGGTGTTACTCTTCATGCTGTCGTTTCAAATCTGTCTGAATCAATAGTGGTGAGGTCATTTAAAAATCCCAGGGATGCTGTTCATTTAAACGGTATTAACCCAGTGTCCTGGTGGTGTTCTATCTTGGTGTTCTATCTATTCTGCGCCCCTGTTGTAATTCTCTGTGCCCCACTTCAGCTGCATTCGCAGGTTCTCCACTCCCCATTCTAAGCTGTTCCCGGCTCTTGCCGTGAACAGTGAAATAGCTGGCACATTTCACCTAAGGGGTAGCTGAATTTGACTGCTGGGTGAAGTGCTCCCTTTATAGTTTGTAAATCAGTTAGTAAAGCACTTAGCAACCCTTTGTAATGAAAATTAATCTGTTATTAATGAGTGAAAATGGACTCTCTCAGATGGCAGAGTGGAGAATAGTAAAGGAGCCCTCTCCCTGCCTTAAACTGAATGAATCATTCACAAAGGATTCTGCTTTTCTAGCGTGATGCTATATTAATATTATTCCACATAGGATTAGTAATCCCTTGGAATGATGAAGACTATAGAATGCTTGGGGGTTAATGGTGGTACCATTGTTGTTGTTATTGTTATGAATTATTATTATTATTTATTATTTACTATTTATTTTATTATTTATGTTTAATACCTACCCGTAGGGGGAAACCAAGGAAAATTCCTCAGCTGACAAGATTTTTGCAAGGCAAAGCATGAAGAAATGCTGTATTAAAAAAACTTGAGAAACAATTAGCTGGGTGTCTAATTGTCTTTGAAGGGAATGAATATGAACTTGACAGAGTGTTGGCAGAAATGGCCTCTGGCAAATTTTACTCATCAGCTATTACTCTGAAAAGAGAGGGCTTTAAATAGACATGACTGTTAATCCATGTTTATATTGTTTCTTTTAAGGTGAGTCGTAATTTTGAGCTGGTTGGCCGGGTTAACTTGGATCAGCTGGAACAAATGAAAGGGAAAACGGAGAGCTCCAGCAGTGATGAGGAAGAAAAGGAAGAGGAGATGAGCCCCAAGACTGAAGAGAGAGGTCAGTATTGCTTCTTTTTCAGGTGGGGCATAGGAATGTCTCCAGCAGCCTCACAGAACAAGATTACCCATTGATTCCACAACAGATTTTTTCAGGAACCATGGATACATGGCAGCAAAGGCCCAATAGAAAAGAAGCGTATTGAGAAAAAGCGCCTAAGCAAGTGAAGTCTTTTGTACATGTGAGTAGACTGTTTTGGAGCACGCTAGTTCAGAGGGCTATGAAATTTGTATGTTGGTAATCCACTTGCAACATGGCTATTCCATGTTAATCCTTTGGGAGATCAAAGTTAGGGGAGAAACTTATTTTTGGACCACCATCGTTTTCTTCTCTTGATCTTCTTTAGCTTTTTGTCCTCTCCCCCCGCCCTTATGTGTGAACCCTTTTTAGGTTCAGACTGGCTGACAGCTGGGAAGCAAGAGTAGCAAAGTGCTCCATCTTGGAAGCACGTTACTATCCAGACCCCAGTTCAGCAACGTACTCATGCATATGCATGCGCCTAACTTTTACAATGTGAGTCCTCCTATTGGTTGCAGTCAGACAATTGACTTGCTTACAGATGGGCACTTGGTTAAGTATGTTGCTGAGACATCATGCGTCAATTTCAAATTATAAGGCCTGCGCAGGCATGGTAGTTCTGCCTGGTTCGGTTCTTGTTCCCCCAACTCCTGGCTTACCACACAAAGAAGAAAAAGCAAGCAGGGTTCTTTCATTTCAAATCTCAACACCTTCCCCCATTGGCTCTCTGCCAACACCTCCTGGCTACCTGAGTTTTTAACCCTTTGGTTACTGAACGCTGGGACATTCAGAAAAGGCCAGCACTCCTCCTATCCATCACATGGCTCCCCCAAATTCCAGATGGCGCCAGATAGGATAGTTCATACTGGCTGTGATTTCTTCCTGGAGGTTTAAGAAAGGGGTTGTTTCACATGGTGGTAGCAGCCTACCTCCCACTGTCAGGGAATCTGTAACCTTGGGGAGGTTTTTTTTGTTTTGGGTTTTTTTTTTTAAGCAGAAGCCTATAGAAGCAAGGTATTTTCAAAGTGACACCAGGGCCCCCACCTTCTGCACTCAGATGGTATGTCTAGACTACATCCCTCTGTCACCAGAAGAATGTAAATTAGACATACCAAATTTGCTAATGAAGCGGGGATTTAAATCTCCCACACTTCATTAGCATAAAAATGGCCACCACTTTTTGGCCACGGAGCTTTGTTCCTAAGGGTGTGTCTACACTACTGGGTTTTTTGTTTTTCGAAAAAAAGTGAACTTTTTTCGAAAAAACTTCCCCTGCGTCTAGACTGCTACGGGATTCTTTCAAAATTAAATCGAAAGAACGCAGCGGTTTTTTTCACCCGCGGTAAACCTCATTTTACGAGGAAGAATGCCTTTTTTCGAAAGAGAGCATCCAGACTGAGTGCTCTCTTTCGAAAAAGTAGCTCGCTTTTTCAAAAGAATTGGTTGCAGTTTAGACGCTGTCTTTCAAAAGTGGCTTGTAGTTTAGACGTAGCCTAATAGTCATGCCTATTAATGGGAATGACAAGTGTAAATCCCCCTCAGGCATTTGAACAAAGTAAGGTCTGTTGTCTGCACCTCCTCTGCACAGACCCAGAATAAATGTCCTGTTGGCTTACTTGTACCTTAGGTGCATTCTCTTGCTTCCCAAACTTCTTACCTTAAATAGGTGGCAGTCTGGCCCCAGTACAGAGCTGAGGTGTTTAGAGGGATGCTTATGAACTTGTATCACATGCAGAAGTGTGTATGACCAGGCTTACAGGCCAATGTAAACTGGCCTGGCACCACTGACGCTAGACTGATTCACATCCGCTGAGGATCTAACCCCATGAGTCTTAGCCAGACAACAAAGTGCTGCCTCTTATGAAATCTGAAGCCAGCTCCCCTTCAAGGAGAAAAGGATACAAGCTACGTTCCCTCCACAATGTGAACCGCTGACGAAGGTTGCCAACTTGTTGCACTGCGCATTTGTACGAAACATGCCGGCGGAGACGGAGCGTGCGCGCGGGGGTGATTTTGAGTTCACAACTTCAACATGGCTGGGCTACATTTTTTTTAAAGTGAAGCAACCAGGCGAACAGAGATCAAAACGGAACAAAGCAAAATCCCTTTTCTTTCATTGTGTCATTGGGGAGGAGTCAGAAAGACATTCTGTTGATTTCTTGCTCAAGATAATCCCTGCTAAGGAATTAATGCCCTGAACAGATGGCGCTGCCTCATTTCCAGTGAAAAGAATCAACCGAGATAGTCCCTGCAATTATTTTTAATGGCTTGTGTGGCGATCTTCTTAATTTGTGAGCGAAGGTTTCATCTTTTGTTAAAGCTGCCTCCATTCACAAAGGGCTTAGTTTCCAAAGTGCTGAGTGTCCACAACCTCCCTTGACTTCAGTTGAAGTGGTAGGTTGCTTGGCACGTCTACAAATCAGGTCAGTGGCATTTTGAGTAAAAGCTTAGGATGGGAGGAGACTCCTACCCAGTTAAATATCCCTGCAGAATAGTATTAAGCACCGCTTTGTACTTTGGGACTCATCTAGTGGGATCAGATGTCTACTGTAAGGAGAGCATAGCCTAAGATTTGCTTTGTGACTGGAAAACACATTTCGAGTTGTGTTTATTTGTGTCTTGGACAAGCTGTTTCCACATTAAGCTTCCCTTATAAAATTGGTTTTGAACTCTGAGGTAGGCAGACCTGTTGTCCTTCCACTGAAATGTGGAGATAGGAGGTGCTCCTGTGGGTAGCAAACTTCATCGCTTCATGTTTTGAGGGAGGAGCAGGCCTCTTCAGCTGCAAAGTGTGTGTGTGTTTGTGTGTGGTGCGAGGTTGAGCCCCGTTTTTCAAAAGCGTTTCCTTGCCTTCCTTTCTGAAGGAGAGCAGAAGGATGTGATTGTCACTGTCCCTTCTGGCTATAATGTTGATGGACCCGTGAATAATCTTTCTGTTCTTCTTTCCCAGATTCCATGATGTTTCCTGAGAGTGGTGCTCCTGAGAAACGTTTTCCGTGTGAGTTTTGTGGGAGGTCATTTACAGAGGGCTCTGAGTGGGAACGGCACGTGCTGAGACACGGCATGTAAGTGTGTTTATAGGCTACTTTCTATCACAGTGAGGAGAACAGATTTGTCTGCCTCCATTAATTGAGTAATGACAAGATACTTAAGAAGGAAAATAATCCTCCTTCCCCCCCCCCCCAAAAAAAAAAAGAACTAGTGAAGGCAAACACAGGGAGGTCAACAAATAATCCTAGTAGGTGGCCACAGGGGTCATTGTATGAAATTGTCTTTTCTGTGTTAAAAAGAGGTCAAACCAGATTATTAAAATAATGGTCTCTTCTTGGCTTAACATTTATGGAGCCAGTATTCCAGGGTGACTATGGTACTCGAAAAGGATTGGAACTAAAATCTTAGTCTGTCTTGGCTAGGGAGTATCTAATATTCAGACCCTCAGATGTGAGTGTTCCCTTGCAACTTCAAGACTGAATCAAATCCACCTGAACCTCTTTTTGAGATGTAGGCCAAGATGGAAGACCTTTAACTAGGATAGCTTATCTTTAGAAACTTCCACCATTTGGTCCAGAATCCTGTGTGGACATCTCCAAGAATTCAGTACCATCTAATCCAAAGTTGAATCATAGGACCCGATTGGTCCCAAACCTGATCTCCGAATCCAAGGCCTGGAAGGTCAGATTAAGGCACACAATTCCAGCTATGTAAAATATGTACCTGGAGTTGATTTACCTTAAGCTGAGCTTGGTGCTTATCTTCACAGTGGGACAGCGATGGGAGCAAACACTCTCGTCAGTTTCCCTTACTCCTCGCAATTGCAAGGAGTACTGGCACTGACCAGAAACATCAGCATTTGATTTAGCGGGTCTTAACTAGACCTACTAAATCAAATGCCAGAAGATCCATCTCCACCGTGGCAAGTGGAGACATGGCCTTAAAGTCTTCCTGATCTGAATACCTCTTGATTGACCTAATGAAGCTGGAAATTACTGTTGCCATTTACGAGCTCATAGGCCAGCATTGAAGGTATCTGCAAATCATTGTGGTCCTTCTACATGAGCTCCACTCAGGTTCCCTTTCTACTCTTTATATCGGAACAGTGATATTGAACTTACAGTAAATTATATGCACAAAAGGTTTGAATGCTTCAAGGAGAGGACCTCTCTCTAACAGTCCTACTCTGAGATAATAGGAAATATTTGTGTTGTACACTCATTGCTAACAGTCTTTTATTGCATAGGACAACAGTGCAGTCAGCTGTGGTGTTTGGTACTTTCACTTTACTTTGAGAATTTTTTGTCTAAAATCTCTTCAATGCTCCTTACCTGCTTCAGAATGGAGAGCTCTTGCACCATTGCTGACACTCAGAAGACACGTTGATTTAGTTTTTGTATATTGCTAGACTGATGACCTCTTGCGGGGGGGAGGGAGAGGAAGGGGAGAAGAATTACCATATTTCAGGTTCCCCAAAAGAGGATGCTGCTGGAGGGGGAGGAAGTTGGGAGGGATATTTGGGCGATGCTGAGGGGAGGTGTATGTACCAGGAGAGGTGCCTGGGGGTGCTGGAAGGGATATTTGGGGGGGTGCTCATAGGGCACTCATTGGAAACAGGAGGAAAATGTTTTTCACAATCATGGTTGTTGGGTGGCTGGTCCTTGTGGGACCCCTGTACCCCAAGGCTGGGAGCCAAGACCTGGGGCAGGTGGGATCCAGTGGCTGTGGCTGCAGGGGAATGGACCAGTTACTTGCAGGTGCAGGGATAGATTAATCGGGGCATTCTTGAACTGTGACAGCTACTCTGGAAAAAACTTGGGCATTGCCTCTTATTTGAACAATCCACCTGGACAGAAAATGGAAGATGAGAAAAAGAGACCATGTCTCGTAGCCCCTGGATGTATGAAAACCCTACTTTTGGGAATTACAGATACTTCAGCTTTCTTACCCCTGATCTTGTCAATTTAGATAAGAGCCTCCATCCTACAGTGCTTCCAATTTGTGTTTGTACAGGATCTAGCACAGTGGGGCTTAACTTTCATTTGAATTGTACTGGGTGTGCCGAGTTTAAAGAAAGCAGCTTGTTAGGCACTTGAATGGCTCAAAAGCCATTTGTCTTTTTAGATTGTTCCCTCTTCGGGGAAGAACTGTCTAAAAATGCACACGCCTAGCACACTTCGGGACCAGTTCTAATACAAATGATGAGCCCAAGGAATAAGGGTAAGTTGACCTTTCAGGGATGAAAAGGTCAGACATCAAATCTGGGGTTGTTTCTGCCCCTTATGTTCAGCAGCCCATAATTTTATTTATTTTACTTGAAAATATTTTTACCCCGCCTGACCATTTAAAATATTCGAGGCTAACCCTACGTACAAAATATCCAACTCTATGGATACACAAAAATTTGTATTTCATTTCCCTCGCTTGACCTGTTGCAAGCCTTATAGACTGGTCTACACTACAGAGACAATTATTTCATTTCCCTCGCTTGACCTGTTGCAAGCCTTTGGTCTACACTACAGAGACAATGTCAATTAAGACACACAACTCCAGCTATGTCAATAGGGTCGCTGGTGTCGACGTTCCTTAGGTTGAGGTATCACAATGTCCCTACTGCAGGGAGTCAGCAGGAGACGCTCTCCCATCGACTCCCCTTACTCTTTGTAATCAGGTAATTGAAGTATCGGCTCATGGTGGCTCTGGTGTGGAGCGCAATCAGCAGTCCATTTAGTGGGTCTTAACTAGATCTGCTAAATCAATCCGTGCAGCACCAATCTCTTGATAAGTGTAGACAAGGCTAATGTACCCTATTAGATGCTGGTGGTTTGGCTAACTGTAGTCTCTCGGTAATAGGTAAGGGAGGGCTTTGTTTTCTGTGGGTCCGATCGTAAAGTTCTCCACTTTCTGTTGCTCAAATTTCCAGGGCCCTGAATGAAAGTAAGCGTGGGACCAGTGAGGATGAACAGCTGAAGGAGAACACCGAGGAGAACGTTAAGGTACCGTCAGCAGAAGAAAAGGAAGGCAGTCAGGAAATGGTGGTGGACTTTTCCCACAAGAATGACGATAAATCTCTCCATGAGAACACAGAGGCCAAAAACGAATAAGCATTTGGTGTGATTTTAATTAACCTACTTGAACAGTGATGAAAGGGGTTGGGGGGGAGGGGGACTAAAGGAAGAAACAAAGCTGCTTTTAGGACTGAATGATCTATTTTCAAAGCACTGGTACCTGTGTGAGTGTGTGTATATTAAAGTTATTTAAATGATGGAATAAGTGGGCTCCATTACATCACTGCATCTTTTCTTCTGGATTTTTGACAATGGGAAGTTACATTCATCTTGGACTAAACGAAGCAACTTCCCGTGTTCCGACATTACACAATGTGCTTTGCAATGGAGACTTGGATTGTCTGAGATCGGAAGCGTCGTGAGCATGGAAGAAGGGGGGGAGGGGGGCACAACTTTTTGGCGCACACATTTCCGTGCGTTTTTCTAGTTTTAATACATTACGCTTTTCAAGACTGAATGCAACTGCTTTAGAAAAGAAAAGAAAGGATTAAAAAACAAACTGCTTTGCTTAAAACAGTCACCTGTTTCTTAGTACCTCAAAATTAACCAAGGGAAATCTCTGCATTGTCAGTACTACCTGTTGTCGTTGTGGTTAAATGTAGAGAGACTGCTGGCTGAGATGGTGAATGGAGGAAGAAAAAAAAAAAAAGAAGTTTTAAAGAAAGGAAAAACAAATTGTGCTTAAAATCCCATTGTGGGTTTTATTTCTTAAAATACTGTGATTTTTTTAATTATTTTAGTAAAAAAAAAAACAAAAAAAGAGAGAGAGAGAGAGAGAGACTTTAATTCCTAGATAACTGTTTGTGAATTGTCATCCTTTATTCCAGGTAAGCTGTTTGTTAGTATTCAACTATAATTTTAGGGTTTGATAGATTCATGTGACTGATTGTGCGGTTTTGTTTGCCACATGTTTGTTTTCTATCCGCCGGAGGTGTTACAAATACAGCACAATTAAGTTTCTCATGTAAAACAATTTCTTTTTCAAGGGGGAGGGGAAGGAGACGTGTTCTTGTGAACAACGTTTTTTTTAAGCATACGGAAATAACAAAGAAGTTTAACTTTTTTAAAAAAAAATTAAACTAAAGAACCAAACTTACGGCACAGCTATGCAGCGTGCGGACCCGCCACTTAGGTCCTCGTCACCATTCTGTTGCTTGTCAAATTAACATTGATCAGTCTCACACCAGTAACTTTTCGTTAAGATTGGCTGCCGTTTTCGTAGGTGGAGTGTGTTTTTTTTCTTTATTGTTTTCGTGCGGTGGGGGATAACACATGTTTTTGCAAAGGGGAGGGGTGAAATAGTTACATAACACAGAGTGTGAATCTAACTCGAGTCAAGATGGGACTTGCTATTTTCCCCCTCCCCCCTTCCTTAGCATGGTGGCAGCAGCACAGAAGAAATAGGAATCTACAGCCACGTGGAAGGATCCTGCACTCTTGAGTTAGCCTGAGTAAGGAGAACAGGATCCAGGCCCGTGGTAATGTTCCGACTGTGAACAAAAGAGTTTCTTTCCCAAAAGTAGAAAGTACTTGACTGAAACCTAGTTTTAGAAATGCATGTGTCTTTGTTTTTTTGTTTTGGCGGGGAGGGCGGGAGGGGGATTGTATTGGGAGGGAGGGGAAAAGACAGGAAGCTGGTGAGAAGACAGCGTCCCACGGAGCGTCACATAAAATAGTTGGCAAAAGTGTTGCATTTGTGGAATACGTGCTAATTGAAAAGCATGGTGGTTTTGCTTTTAAGGATTCATCCTTTGCAGGCTTTCTTTGGAGGTGGGAGGGAGCATCATGTGGAAAACACAGCAGAGGGACAAGTATAAATACACATTTTGTGTCTGTGTTTTTGTTTTGTTTTGTTTTGAATTGGCCTCATTTCAAATGTATTTAAACAGTTCCATACCTGGATTGGGTGTTTGTAATGGTTACCAAAAATGAAAAAAGAAAAAAAATGAAATAAATGATTGTGACATGCTTTTATCACTACTTTATTTTTCAAATAACATGTAAATATTGTAATCCATTGGATTTTGTTTTGCTAACCTGTTAATAAAAATATGGGACCATTATCCTTTTAACAAGCCTAGAATGTCATATATTTCTTTTTTTTCTCTCTCTCCCTCCCCTCCCCCCCATGTATACCTGATATATTGTGGACACCACATTTTAGATGCATTATTATGAATTCTGTTAACTGTAATAATGACATAGAATTGAAAATAACATTTTTTTCATTGTTTAATTTATACAGAGGACTTTTTCAGAGTTTGACCGAAGGAAATAAATAGCAAAATGCTAACCCAGCGCCTCCAGTACTCACTATTTCCTGATTTTAAATGACTGCTTACTGATGGGGGAAAAGGGAGATTCTGAATTGTTGCACTGGTGGGGTTGGGTAGTTGGTTTTTTTTAAAGGCAATGAACATGAATAAAAAGGTTTTAAAAGCATGTGTGTGTGTAGTTCCATCGTAAGTACTTTCGAACGGTCTCCATTACTGATTTATCTGTCCCCTTCAATATCTGAAGGCCTCTCAGATACATAACTGACTTTGCTTTGCCCACTTCACCTTGGGCAAATACAGTTTGTGCACATTGTGGCTGGCTCTTTTACATTTGGATTTCTGCTGAGAATCTAACAAGGACTGTGTACGGGGGACTAAAAACTGAGCTGGATTTTTTTTTTCCTCAGCAACCATGAATTTTTTAATACATTGGAAATAAATGGTAAGTGTTTACTTTTTGATGGGTGTCCATGTGCTGGGCTGATACATATTGCCTTGAACTACAGAAAACAAAACAGCACCTCAAAGGATTTCTGCACCATCTTTCTTGGTGCTTTTCTCCACCTCTTATTATTTTCTTTGTCTATTGTACTGAAATACAACACGCTGCGTACTCTTATCTCTTCCATCGCTGAGCTAACCTGAATTTGTAAAAGTAATTGTTTCCCCAGTTGCCGAACACTAATAGCAGCAACATTGCTCGTGTATTTGAGAGAATGGGGAGCAAAGTCTAGTCTTGTATTACATGGATAGAAAGTTGCCGGTCTGTTAACATGGTGTAACTCCTTTCACTTTGGAGGCATGACCCACGGTTCATACTGCTGGAAAGGAGAAAAAATATGACCCCTTGAGCTTCTGTGTGAGTTCTGTGTTTGCACCGGAGAGCAGAGTGTTTCTCAGAGTTCAGCTATTTCAAGTGCCTAAATTGAATTCAAACTCCGTTTAGGAAACAGTGAGCCAAACCACTGTAGTAAAAAATGTGAAGTATGTGTGTTGGGGTGGAAGCAGAGGGAGGGAAAGGAAACGCATTGCTGTATAGTAAACTGAGTATTTAGTAGTATTGTTCTTCTGCCTTTCAGTACAGACAGAACATCCAAAAGGTCCTTCTTTCTTAACTTGGGGGTGACACACTGGTTTTCTGGAGAGCAGTCAGGCCCTCTGGGAGCTCACATCTGTGCCAGTCATCTGTCATGGATGCCATGGTTTTGAGGACAGGTTTCCTTTTCGCTTTGATTTTGTTCTTTTCGTTCTGGCAGTTCCAGTCCCTAACCCCTCCAACGTCCTGTTCTCACCGGTCTTGCACCATTGTAAATCCAAGTGACTTAACAGACAGCAGAGTGAAGGGAGATCATCTAGCCCAATGCAATTAAGCTCCTTCAGTCATTGTCTCTCTTTGTGCAGCCTTAGCTAAGGCCAGGTCTACACTAGGGACCAATGTTGAACGCAATTCCAGCTACATGAGTAGCATAGGTAGCATCAAGTACCATAAATCGAGTTAACATAGCATCTCCACTACGAGCGATTGACAGGAGAAACTCTCCCGTCGACTCCTCTTAAGCTTCTCGATCCCGTGGAGAATCAGAGTCGACAGGAGCATGATCAGCAGTTGATTTAGCGGGTCTTTACTAGACCCACTAAATTGATCCCTGGGGGATCAATTCTTGCAGCCCTGCTCTCCCGGTAAGTGTAGACAGGGCCTAAGGAAAGCCAGAGCCACATTACGTCATTCAGCCTAACCATGGAAAATTGGACATTTGGATCCCGCAATCAGTAGAAATCTTACATAGCTGTTTGGGCAAATTTTAAATACAAACTGAACTCTATATTGGCCCAGCCACAGAAATACTTTTACTCAGTCGTTGTGGGCTGATGCCATAGGCACTTCCACAGTTCGTGTGCATCAGGCCAACTGAAAGTGGCTGAGAGAGGATGTGTCAGAATAATATATTTCAAGAGGTTCAGCTAAGGCCTGCTGTGCCAAAGGTATGTCCTAGTCTGACGAAACAAAGCATTACCAAAATCCTGGTTTCCTAAGAACACATTTGGTTTTGTGGCAACGTTATTGCTGACCATACCCATTGCAGTTTGCACAGGGCTCTACACACCAGGCTACAATGCTCTAGGACAGTGATACTAAGACTACAGTTTACGAGTCACAAGGGGCTCTCGAATGTGTCTCCTGCAGCTCTAAAAAACTGATTTAATTATTAAACAATCTTAGTACAAGACCCTGATTGGTTAATATGTTATTAACCAGTTGTAGTTGATAAAATATTTGGCCAGTCATTTTGCTGTAAGAATTCTATTTTCCTAGTCATGCTATTTAAATATGAGTATGTAACGGGGCCGTGCATATCATGAGGTTTACTGACAATAGATGGGCCACAGCTGTCAGCAACTGGTACCCTGGGAAACTGAAACGACCACTCAGCCGACCTTCAAAGAGATGGGAAGATTTTAACATGAAAAGACATTGCCGCACATGGAGGAGGAAGGCCAGGATACGAGAAGAATGGAAAATGTGTTGTGATCGGTATAATCTCTACAAGAGCTAAAGGGCCGATCGATCAAGGTGATATAGCACTACAGTAAATGAAACAATGGAGTCACTCTACTGTGACTCCTTTGGGTAGTGCTGATCACTAACTTGGCTTCTGAATCATTGAGGCCTCAGTTTCACTGCTCTAAGGCATATTTGGATCTTTTCACCTCTCTCTTCCCATCTCTTCTCTCACTTAAGTGAGCTCTACACTAAAGGGG